ACGACCAATGCTCAGTCAAATGCTCGCCTTCATCTGCTGCCTTGAGGTAATGCGTTGGAGGGTAGCTGTAGGGGGACTTTTGGCAGTGAAGGCAGCCTCATTAGGAAACACGCTGGACACAGCATTCGCATCCACTACCCAAAATGCCCGACCACACTCAACACACCGTGCGGCTTACCGAAGAAATGGAGACATCCATATCCTCATACCCACCCTCACTCCACCTACTCAGCCAATGTCCAGTGCCTTGCTGCCTACGACTAACGTGGATGTTGGCAAAAGGACTGCTGCACGTTCTTCTCATGTGGTGACACGACTTTGCATATTCGGCCAGCTAAATTAGGCACACCACAAATGGGAGCAGAGCAGTGCATGCATGCTACTGAACTGGTGCCTTATGGAGGAGTTTAAATTTGAGCTCTGCATGATGAGTCGTTGTGCTTGTGTGTGTGGATTGGATAATGTCATGCTTCCACTTCTTCCTCACTTCCTCCCTATGGAATGGCAAGCCCTACTGATGCACGCCACTGGAGAGCAAAGAGGTGAGTGGCCACACCCGTTTACACCTCCCATCAATGCTCATCATTAAAGGAGAATGTGCACAATTTCTTATCAATTCAATGCATCAACTGCACTGACCCGGATCTCGCCACCCCTGTGATCACCTTCACATATGTCTACTTGTGCCCTGTCTCCTCCTGCTGCTACATTCGTTCCTTCGCCACACACGCATTGCAAACTGACGTGAATTGCACGCGACGCCTTGCGTCTGTGCTCCACTCTGCTCGCCAATGCAACACAGTCGGCATTGATTGACGCGAGTGCTGATGCGAAGTAAGGTGGAGGTGATGCGTGCTCCTCGTCGTCCAATCAGCACGCCACTTGTCTGACACTCACCTCGCACCAGCGTCTCCGCCTCCACACACGGTGGTGACGCCTTCAATGCCAAAGTGCGGTGAGGCAATGCATTCTCTCACTGCAAACCTGCACGTTGCAATTGTTTTTTTCCTTGCCATCGTCTGTGTACTTGTGCCACTTGATATGGAGTTATGAGCAGTGCCAATCGCATAGTGTGTGATGGCAATGAGCAGAAGTGGATGCTAGTAATGAAGGATTCGTTGCATCACTGCTTGTTGTGTCAAGAACCTAACTTTTCTTGTACGCACGTATAACTGCGCGGTAAACCTGCAGTCATAAGCATTAGTGTTTGCAGTGGTAATTCATTTTATGCTTCTGTTTGCACATTTTATTTAGCGATTCGCTTTAACAGCAGCTATAAATTCACTTTATACGCTAGATGGCTACACGTCAAAGGAGATAATTCTATCATTGCAATAAATTAGCTCTTGCAATAAACAAATCGCCAGCTTTCTCTAATCAAGGCATCAGCGAGATGAAACAGCCTGGAGAGGAGCAAAGAAATGCATGAACAATGAGGCCGACAGTGGCAAAATTAACATGTACATCAATGAAATTGTTTTTCCTTTTGCACCACCTCTTAATCAGCTATTTTACTGAGTGATGGTGGCAACAATTGTCTCGCTTTGCTCTCTTTTATTGACATTTTATATTTCTTAAGGTTCCTGTGTTTCAGTTGTTATGAGAACCCTGCCCCCTTAACTTTTTTTTTGACTCTAGTTGATGGTACTTAGTCCACCCCACTTTCTGCTATGGACTAAATCGTTCCCCTTAGGAAAGAGACAACTGCTAAGGTAGAACAAAGGCTTTATTCGGCAATCACTTGTTGTTCGCATTTTACTCCCATGGATGGCTTTTAATGTTGAAGACACCCAGAACAGTGAGGAAAGTACAATGTAAACAATTTATGCTGCCTTATCCCATTGCACGCTGCACGTTGTCAGACATGAGTTGGGAAATTGCCACATCTGCATTGCTGCGTATCCGACACTCACACATTAACTTAAAGCGCTCGCAGACAAGTTCACAACCAGTCTGCATTTGCGTCATTCCTCTCGAGTGAGTAGTTGCCAGCACTTGAGAAGACGCGCATAAATAGCGCCACCTTTCAGTTTGATGGAGTTATACCGACAGTTATCGTACCCATTAACAACAGTGGTTGATATAAAAAGGGTACACGCACTTACATTTGAGCGTCTCACAAAGGCATGCCTAGGGGTCGAGCCATCGGCATTGATTTGGGAACAACATTTTCATGTGTTGGTGTTTTCCAAGACGGCAGAGTGGAGATCATCGCCAACGACCAAGGTTTCCGCACAACGCCGAGTTATGTGGCCTTCACGGACAAGGAGCGCCTCATCGGTAATGCCGCAAAAGACCAGGCCTTCTTCAACCTTACCAATACTGTGTATGACTCAAAGCGTCTTATCGGGCGCAGTTTTGACGACAAAGAAGTGCAGGACGACATAAAACGTTGGCCTTTCAAGGTTACAGGTGTGAATGGGGTACCGAAGATCGAGGTGGAACATCTTGGTAAGCCACAGTCATTCGTTGCAGAGCAGATCTCGGCTATGGTGCTAGAGAAGATGAAGCAGACGGCAGAGGTGTATTTGGGCGAAAAGGTGACAGACGCAGTCATCACAGTGCCAGCCTACTTCAATGTAAGCCAACGTCAGTCTACGATCGATGCAGGACAGCTGGCGGGTCTAAATGTGCTGCGAATTACCAACGAACCGACAGCAGCTGCCATCGCCTACGGCTTGGAAAAGAGCATCGATGGGCAGTGCAACATCCTCGTCTATGATTGGGGTGGCGGCACCTTCGATGTCTCCATATTATCCATGGGGAATGGGAAATTTAAAGTGAAAGCGGTGAACGGTGACACGCATCTGGGGGGTGAGGACTTGACCTCTCGATTGGTCGATCACTTTGCGCAGACCTTTAAGAAGATGCAGGGAGGGAGTGACATGACAACCGACATGAGGGCCGTCAGTCGTCTGAGGAAGGAATGTGAATTAGCAAAACGAATGCTGACTTCAGCTGAAAGCGCAACCGTGGAGGTTGAATCGTTGTTTCAGGGCATCGATTTCAAAGCCACCATCTCAAGGGTCAAATTTGAGGAATTGTGCTCCGATCTCTTCAGTAGAACGCTTAACTTGGTAGAGCTGGCGCTAAAGGATGCGAATATTGAAAAAGCTGATGTGCAGAAGGTGTTGATGGTGGGTGGATCGTCTCGCATTCCGAAGATACATCAGTTGTTGCAAAACTTCTTCGACAAAAGCAGTATACTCAACGAGTCCATCAATGCGGACGAGGCAGTGGCGTACGGTGCGACGTTGCTGGCTGCCAAATTGACTAATGAGGGGACGAAGGAGGTGGAGGATTTGATGCTATTGGAAGTGACACCACTGTCATTGGGGGTGGAGACGGTGGGTGATGTGATGTCGACGGTGATAGAGCGTAATACGCCAATTCCAACGAGGAAGACAGGTTTATTTCAAACGGCTCATGACAATCAGACATCCGCATCAATCTTGGTGTATGAAGGTGAGCGTGTAAAGACGAAAGAAAACAATTTGTTGGGTGAGTTCAAGCTAGTGGATCTCCCAGTGGCACCTCGTGGTGAGACGAAGCTGAATGTGGACTTTGAAATCGATGAGAACGGCGTTCTGCATGTGATGGCGGTGGAACCGTCGACACAAAAGCAGAACAGTATCACTATCACCAATTACAGAGGTCGCTTATCCGAGGAGGAGATAGCACGATTGTTAGAGGAAGCGGAGAAGTTCAAGCAGATGGACGAGAAGGAGAGGAAAAGGATGGCGGCCATAAATTCTTTAGTTGATTATATCTACACTATCAAAAGGAAAGTTGAGAGCGAGGAAGTAAAGAAGAGGACATCGGAGGAGTATCGGCAGAACATAATGACTATGTGTGAGGAGGCGATCAAGTGGTTGGACACCGATTGCCAGGCCACAGAAGAGGACTGTCACCAAAAGCGCAAAAATTTCGAGAACATAGAAAAGCTCATTACGGCAGCCATGAACCTCGATTCCTCAGTACCGAGTTCTGAAGAATGAGGTGATGAGTATCGCTCCTTCTCTTCACAAAACACAGCACATCACAACTCTAAGTGTGCGCCTCTGATCCCAACCGCAGCGCATTGTACACTGCAACAGGTATTACATTGTAATGACCAGCGTGTGAGAATTGCAATAAAGCTTTCCTCTACCTGTTTTTCTGTTTGACCACTTCCTCACATCTTCCTCAAAGCAGTTCTTTCCTCTTTCACCCCCTCCTTCATTAACTGGTCAGTTGGAATTATCGATAGCAAATTGCGAATGCGATAGCAAGCTTGCCTTACTAGACAAGTTGGGGGCCACTAGCCGCGTTGATCCTCAACGCAAGTGGGGATGGGTTGTAAGGGTGCGCAACCAGGTGGGATGAATGAAAGCTAACGCCAGACCATCTACTTCATTGGCAAATGTCAGTTGGAAGGTATTTAGCTTTCTTATCGCACTGGCCCTACCGAAAATGACAAGTTTGCTTTTGACACGTCATCTTGCTGAGCACTGTAGAGCAGCGAAACTACAGCAAGTGCTGACTACCAACAGTGTTTGCCAGTGGATACCGTTAGAAGTATTGTAAAGCCCAAAAGTTTAGTCGTTAAAGTAAACCTGTTGCCTGATCAGAAACGTGGAACACGTGGGCATGAGTGATTCAAAGCATCTCTTCGATCTTCTTGGCAGACCGCTGTACCTGCTGCAAATGTAAGTGTGCGAAATTTGCATTTGCACCCACTGTGAAGTACTTTTGGCTGCGATGTCACCAATGGATTCTGCGACCTAAAGAGTTAAACACTGTGCTGCTCTACTCAACTTTGCAGGGCACAAAGTCACAAGCCAAGGGGAGAAGACCATTAAAGTGCGAGTTTAGGCGTTGTGATGAGGGTGCGGGTCGATCTGGTACACCTTTGGAAGCACGTAGGTAGCCGAGATCGGAGCGGGACTATCGCATTGCACTTGTAAAGTGCCCCCAACTACCATCAGACCTCCGACTACTTCCTTATCTTCAATCCATCTTCTATGCATTCATGGAAACTTTGAACGGGCACGGCCCACACACTTGCACTTATCCGCCTGTTCACTTTCCGCTTTCCTCCCTCAATGCGTCCACGTGGAAGAATAGGGATTTGCAGTAATGTAACCCAACTTCTTCCATTCCGATTTTGATAGGTATACTAAAGGGACAAACATAGAATCAATAGACAATGAGAAAGAAGCTTTAACCATGCGACACGTTGCATCTCCATTGAGTTGACATGCCTGCATGGCTGGAGGAGGAGTTGTGTGACTTCTGCCGAACGGTTTGGCAACTGAATGGCCGAAGGAAGTGACAAAACTTATTACCAAGCCCTCATTCCTCGCCCCACAGTCTGCAGCGATGCACCGATCAACCAACATTGTAGATGCATGCTTTAACAATGAGCTGAGACTGTCTGCTTTTGCTACTTCCGCCAATAATTATAAAAGACACCTTTTGCAGGCACCATTCATTAGTCCAGCTGCAATCAGTTAGAGGAGAGTTAATAAGCAATTGGCAGTTGTAGTAATCGCCTGTTAATTGTATGAGAAACGAAGTAGTTGTGTAAATGCGGTCCGTCATTCATGTTGGGTAAACGTGAGGCTGGGTGTGCCTTCTACCAAACGGTAAAAGTGGTGACCACGCACATAAATGTAATGGTAAGGAAATCGAGTTAGCAATTAGCGGCCTCACTTTCCAATCGGAATCTAACTTATCGCGCCTCTCATTCGACTCTTCTGTCTGTGCGAATTTAATCATGCACCAACGCGCTTGTCCAGCTGCATACCAAGCAAGGTTGGACGAGAGATAGACGCCGTTACGAAGACGCTGGAGGCAGCAAATAAAGACTGTGCTGTTGCGGTGACGGGTATGTGAGGAAAATGGAGGAGTAGAAAAATCTGGTAGTTACTGTAACTGCTTTCGCCAATGGGAGAGGACAAGGATTGTCAAGAGAATGTCAAAAAAGCATAGCAACTGCAAATATGCACCGCAACCCCGTCAAACAGCGCATTCATTGGATAAGTAAACAAAAAAAAGGTCAAAATATGCAGCATAAGTTAACTAAGCCAGAAAAGAAAGCAGTAAAAGCAACTTGTGAGAAGAGTTTATACCTAGCCTCAGCAAGTGGGAATGAAAAGTTTTCGTGTGCAATCTCTTCTGCTCGCATCCACTTATGCTCATTGCCATAACACACTATGCGATTGGCACTGCTCATAACTCAATATCAAGTTGCACAAGTACACAGACGATGGCAAGAAAAAAAAAACAATTGCAACGCGCAGATTTGCAGTGAGAGAATGCATTGCCTCACCGCACTTTGGCATTGAATGCGTCACCACCGTGTGTGGAAGCGGCGACGCTGGTGCGAGGTGAGTGCCAGACAAGTGGCGTGCTGATTGGACGACGAGGAGCACGCATCACCTCCACCTTACTTCGCATCAGCACTCGCGTCAATCAATGCCGACTGTGTTGCATTGGCGAGCAGAGTGGAGCACAGACGCAAGGCGTCGCGTGCAATTCACGTCAGTTTGCAATGCGTGTGTGGCGAAGGAACGAATGTAGCAGCAGGAGGAGACAGGGCACAAGTAGAAATATGCGAAGGTGATCACAGGGGTGGCGAGATGCGGGTCAGTGCAGTTGATGCATTGAAGTGATAGGAGATTGTGCAGATTCTCCAGTGGCGTGCATCAGTAGGGCTTGCCATTCCATAGGGAGGAAGTGAGGAAGAAGTGGAAGCATGACATTATCCAATCCACACACACAAGCACAACGACTCATCATGCAGAGCTCAAATTTAAACTCCTCCATAAGGCACCAGTTCAGTAGCATGCATGCACTGCTCTGCTCCCATTTGTGGTGTGCCTAATTTAGCTGGCCGAATATGCAAAGTCGTGTCACCACATGAGAAGAACGTGCAGCAGTTCTTTTGCCAACATCCACGTTAGTCGTAGGCAGCAAGGCACTGGACATTGGCTGAGTAGGCGGAGTGAGGGTGGGTATGAGGATATGGTTGTCTCCATTTCTCCGGTAAGCCGCACGGTGTGTTGAGTGTGGTCGGGCATTTGGGGTAGTGGATGCGAATGCTGTGTCCAGCGTGTTTCCTAATGAGGCTGCCTTCACTGCCAAAAAATCCCCCTACAACTGCCCTCCAACGCATTACCTCAAGGCAGCAGATGAAGGCGAGCATTTGACTGAGCATTGGTCGTGGTCTACGTGAACACCTTCCGACCACATGTCATCAGATTGGCACTGTTGTAGCAGCAACATGGTCAACACGGATGGTCCACAAGCACACCGACACCATTCAGCAATTAGGCCATTGAAGCGAAGCACATCGTGAGAGTGGTCAATGAAGCACGCATTAGAGGAGGGCCATACTTCTGACGCGGTAGCAGCGGCACTACATCAGAGTTGAAAGGTGCCACTAATGTCTGACTGGCCTGTTTCGGCGTGATCGGCGGGTGGTGGAAGTGTTGACAGAATTGCATGGACAACTCCACATCTGCCTTCGCCAACAGTGCGCCTTTCGAAATGCACGTAATGCACCACTACGACGCCTGTTTCCAGATTTCGTCACCTCAATCCACGCTCATCTAGTCAGTGGGAGTCGGAGTGAATGGATTTAGAGCTTCCAATTCCAGGCAGTTGAGCGTCAATCCATGGTGCTCTGTTTAGCATGCCAACACACAACCACAATCCCATGCATCATACAACTTGCTTTTTGTCAGTAGAAAGTAATGCGACTTCGTAGTGGATGGTGTGCATTGTGTGCATAATGTTGGAGAAGACGAAGGCGAAGTAGTTGATGCGAGGTAAGCCAGATACACCTCCACACTCACGAGTCTTGCTGCCAACACCGACTGCACAATGGCGGTTCCTCTTAGTCCTGAGGAGAGGCAAAGCACTGAACAGAATGTGGCGGAGTTTGAGGAATTCGCAATTATGATTTGTAGACTAAGAGAGGAGATGACATTGGTGCAAAGTAGGCCACACCGAGGATCCAACCCAGTCTGAAGGCCAAGAGGGAAAGATGTGCAGAGGAGGTATGGAGGGAGGTGGGAGGCGAAAGGCGTAGGGAAAGGTGAGGAAGGAGGGTAAAGAGATGGGAATCGTCGCGAGCAGGATTTGAACCTACGCGGGGATACCCCAATGGATTTCAAGTCCATCGCCCTAACCACTCGGCCATCGCGACGCCAACATACGTCTTAACTGGCCATACAACACCCTACCACCACTCCTCTACACCCACCACCTCTCTTCTCCTTCACTCTACCCACTCATCCTCACCACATATCACTCCTTCCCTTTCTTATCAACATTACCACTCCACAATCACTACCACCTCTGCACCACCCACTCCTCAATGCCACGCGAAACGCACTTTTAGCTGCACACCAAGTCAAGACAGGTGGCAGATAACACACCAATACCTCCTCTTCCCATTGTTCGCTCATCGTCGACCATGCACTGCCCCACCTCCGCAATCCTCCCTCCTCCCGCCAACGACTGCTGCAGTCAGCACGACGAGACACAAATCTATGAAGAATCGATAGCTTGGGTGTGGAACCTGAACCTGAGGTCTGTAGTGCTGTCATTCGTGCAAAAACCTGGCCTTCCCTGTGCCAGTAGCATGCAGGTGGAGCATTGTCCCAGCTCAGCCATAACAGTGGGTGCGGAGGACCGCACGCTGCGTGCGCATACGGGATGGGGAAGTGGAGAGGGAGGAGAGAAAGGGAAAAGCAGTGACACTCGTCGCGAGCAGGATTTGAACCTGCGCGGGGAGTCCCCAATGGATTTCTAGTCCATCGCCTTAACCACTCGGCCATCGCGACGCGCCACCACCATCAATGGCATTCTTTACCCCCTTCTACGCCGCACACTAACCCAGCCCAACTCCGCCTTTCCCCTCCTCTCTTCTTACCATTCACTTCCCCCCACCCACTCCCCCCTCCCCATCATCATTTCCCTCACCCACCCTCCCCACCTTCCACCGTGCACTCACACTCCACACATCGTGCTCTCCTTGCCTCCTCCATCCTACCTCTCTACCTCCAGTGCGACGAGTATCCATTCCCTCACGCAACGTGACACCACACCTCAACACTCTCTAACCCAATGCCCACCCCCGTTCAATGCCAACCTACGAAACTGTCTGAGAGCAAGTTCTCACCCTCTCCTCCACCCCCAACCGTGAACACGCCATGCACCATGGGAGGCGGTGAAGGCCTTCACTGCGGTGCCACCAGCACCCGCAAGCCTCCCCCCCCCCCTTTTCTGTATGCGTGTGCTGGCGCAGTGTGCCACTGCATCGGTGCAATCGTGGCCAGCACACCCGCGCCGAAAGGGCAATTGCTGTTGTGCAGCAATTTCCGAGGAGACGGTGGCCGCAATGATGGCGCAGTGGTCAAGTATCCTGTTGCTGCTAATGCCGCTGATGGTGGTGACGATACAGATGAGACCTGTTGCACTGTATCACTCGGCGTGGTGCAATGTCTTGTAGCAATAATAATAGGTGGGTGTAAGGAGGACAACGGAAGTGAAAGTGTGAGGTGTAGACTGCGGAATGGAAGCATGCACACCGACCAGCTCAAATGACCTAACAACACGGGGATACCTCCACGAAGCAAACGATAGGAGAGAGAGAGGGTGCGGGGCAACAGGTGCATTGAAAGAGAGAGAAAGTGAAAAGTTGGTGTTCGTCGCGAGCAGGATTTGAACCTGCGCGGGGAGACCCCAATGGATTTCGAGTCCATCGCCTTAACCACTCGGCCATCGCGACACGAGACTCACGCTCTTACTTAGTT